ATAGTAATAACGTCTATTTTCAGGCGACGTGTATTTAAACAAATATAAGAATCTTTTTACTATTGTACAATTGATAAACAATAAGAAGAAAGGGGAAGCAACGAAGCAATGGCATTTAACAGTCAAAGCTAGATCACAATGCTTATTATAATGTGTGAATTTATATACCGCATATGTACTTCACTCAATCGCGTGCCGAAAATTTTTTCAGACTTAGCGGCATATAAATTCATAATTCACACATTATAATAAGCATTGTGATCTAGCTTTGACCGTTAATGGCATTGCTTTGTTGCTTCCTTTCTTCTTATATTGTTTATCAATTGTACGGTAGTAAAAAGATTATATTTGTTTAAATACACGTCGCCTGAAAATAGACGTTATTACTACTTTAGATAAATGATTGCGAAGAATATTATTACATCGACTCGCCATCAGAGGTCTATTGATATTTGCAAAGTTTCTCGTAAGTACTGAAATACGAGTATATCTGTTTATATAGAATCTCGATTAACAACTTACACAGGCGTCTAAGGTAGGCTCCCACTACATTACCTTACTGATGAGTCCAGTAGTGGAAGCCAGGACAAAATACCACCTTGTGATATTCTTCGCAATCTTATTTTTCACAGATAGATTTATCATTGCTTTAATATTACATCGTTAAAATTTTTATATATGTCTTTCAACATATTAAGATCCAATAAGATGCTATAAGCATCTAAAATTATTAGATTGCTTTTCAATTTAACGAAAGTGATATTACTGCGGTAGTCGTTTAATGTTGCGTTGTAAGTCTGAAAAAATTTTCGACACGCGATTGAATGAACTACATACGCGGTATATAAATTCACACATTATAATAAGCATTGTAATCTTTGACCGTTAATGGCTTTACTTCGTTGCTTCCTTTCTTCTTATTATTGTTTATAATAATACATATTATGAGAGGCGACCTAATTGGAATAAATATTGTAAATATTACAATACTTTGTGCATGCCCAATTATTTGGATAATAGATTATAAAAACATTGAATAAATATTAATTATAAATATTATTTATATATTTATAATTAATATTAATGTAAATGTAAAATATACTATTATATTCTATTTTAAGATTTTAGATGCCTTTCGGCACCCTTTCCCGTAATCCAATTAATCTAAAATTTTACAGAAATTATTTTTTCATAAAATGGAACCATTTTATGGGGTGAGACAAAAAAAATTTTTTTTTAAATTTCAATGTAGTATAAATAAGAACCACCCTAGTGTTCCCTTGTAAGTAATGATAAAACAGGCACTCCAGCATCCCTTAAGACCAGCTCATTTTTGGAGTAAAAAAATAATTTTCATGAATTTTTTATAGAAAAATTGTTATAGCTATCAATTTGAAGTTTATACACACATTTTATTTATACTTTAAAAAATACCCATGAATTTTTATAAACAAAAATAAAAAATGAATGAGATCCATAAGGTGGATATTCCCAAATCCTATTTTTGTCAAACCACTGTCATTGTAAGGAGGGTACCGTTAGTTTACATCCCGATAGTACATCATATCATCGGCTACTAATTTTTCACTATTTTATTGATAGGATTATTTTATTTTGAATTGACCAATCAATCAGTGATGTGTATTATTGGATCCTTCTCTCACTGTACAGCCAATGTAAGTCATCTAAAACAAAACACCATTTATAATTAGTAATATTAAAAGCATGCGCTAAACCTAATGAAACTTAAAAAAATAAAATTACGTTTAAAAAAAAAAAGAGATCAATTGTAAAAAATGTTATTTTCTAAAAATTCAATAATTATTTTAAATTTAGTGTATACATAAAATAATTATAATTTAAAATGTTTGTAATAAGGCTCAATATGTTTTTAACAGCTAATATAGAGAAACAGGACAATGAGCTAATAAAAATTATGTTAAAAATCTTTTTAAATTAATTTAATATATTGCAAAGAATATCACGTAATTATGGCGTTTCGTCCCAGCTTCCACTACTGGACTTATCAGTAAGGTATTGTAGTGGAAGCTTACTTTAGACGCCTGGGAAAGTTATTCAATCGAGATTCTATATAAAGAGATATACCACGGCGGTCCTGAACTAGATGTAAATGAAAAGTATCTGTACTCTAAAAATTCCTTTTGGGCATCGTTCTGGGACATTTCTAGACTCATTTAAGACGAAAACGAAAATCCCGGATTGAGCCGTTTTCGAAAAAACCACTTTTTAATTTTTTTTTTCATTTTTACATATGTCAAGTATCTAACGAGCAATTTCTGTACAAATCTAATCGTAGATTATTAGGATTAAGATGCATAAGGCTATTATACATTTAGAAAAATAAAATAATATGACAAAGAAATTTTATTTCTTAATACACAAGTCATATATATATATATATATATCTTATGTATTATATATATACCTGAATTTAGGGATAATTTATTTTGACCATGAAACTAATATTTACTTTAAAACTATAATTCTCATTTAAAGGTAGTACCGAGATATGTTTGTCAACAGTAGAGCATTGATATAGGTCATGCGTGTATTCATTGCATTCTTTCGATAGAAATGTATGCTGAGACAAAATTATTCCACAGTCGGAAAAAGCCGGTGAAATTATAACGTCATACATTTTCCTTTATTTGTACTGTCATAATGATTAAAAGTAAATCACATGCGCGCACACATGAAGAAAATAGGGATACTGTTTGCTTATTATGTTTTGATAAAAATAAAGTGATGGTCAAGATTACGAATGTGATTGAAACAAAAATTGAAAATTTGTTTAATAACTATGATCCTGCTAACGATTGTCTTCCGCGTGTGATTTGTGCCAAATGTAAAACCAATCTTTACCGTTTTGCTTCAAGCAGTGGAAAGGTCGATCAAATCAATTTTCCAAAATTTAACGTAAGCAACAGTACAAGATTACACAAAAACGCAGTATGTGAGTGTGAATATTGTAAAGTAGGAAGAATAAATGGACATGAGTGGAAATGGAAACCTCCTATTCGAAATGTATTCTCAAGTAAATCAAAACAGTCTGTCTGTACGTCCAAGAAGCGTGAAAATTAATATTGGTTCTGCATATGAGAAGAAATGTTTAAAGTGTTTTAGTGTCATTGCGAAAGGTAAAAGTCACGTATGTAATGCATCAAACCGAATTTCTAATTTAAAAAATATTATTGAAGAGTCATGTAGTAAGCTTCAGCAAAAAGAGCAACTTGCGTCGTCACTGTTGAAAGACATTATTGATAGTAATAAAAGCAAATTAAATATTAAATTAAGAGCCCGTTCGTTATCATTATCTCAAGTACGTGGAAAAAAACTTCAAGTACCTGTGGGTAACAATGCAACTCTATCGAATTTCGAGAGAAAAAAACAAGAATCTATATTGAGTCTTTAAAAAGATTCAGACTAATTATAACCTTAGTTACAAAACTACGTGCGGTATTGCTTCTAGTATTCGCATTGCTCTGAATGACCGTAAATGTGTTGAGCCTGACTTGAAAAATAAGTTACTCTTACATAATCACTCCGTAGATAAATATTTTAATGCAAAAAAGTTTGACTTTGTGAATACCAGCGGCAATAGCGAATCTAATAAATCTGAATCTGTAGTATATTGTAACAATGTGAACCAATTTATTGATCATGTAAAAAAATCGCGAGAAGTTAATGACGTATTTTTGAAATTTGGTGTTGACGGAGGACGGGGTTTTTTGAAAGTTTGTCTTTCCATGCAGTCATTATCAGAAACAGAAGCACAATCTCCCGAGAAAAGGTTTACCCGACAATCTTACAAAGATGGCATCGCAGCTAAAAAGTTTAAAGATTCCGGGGTAAAAAAATTATTTATACTTGCATTAGCGCCGTATACACAAGAAAATTATGATAACATCTTTCAGCTGTGGTCAGAGTTAAATATAAATAGTTTTGAAGGGACTGTAGCAACAGATTTAAAACTTGCCAACATTATTGTTGGAATAATGACACATACAAGTAAATTTCCCTGTACGTGGTGTTATGCGCAAAAAGAAAATCTAAATGAAATTGGAGATTATAGAACAGTAGGAAATATACTTGAAAACTATATGAACTGGCGCGATGCAGGAGGAGGTAAAAAACAAAAAGCAAAAGAGTTTAAAAACTGCACTCATATTCCCATTATTCAGACCAAAGAAGACAAACTTATTTTAGAAGTCATTCCACCTCCTGAATTGCACTTGATGTTGGGAGTTGTCAACACCTTATTCGACAATATGCTTAAACAATGCGAACACGATGCTCTGAAATGGGCTAAGTTATGTCATGTTGAACGTGAAGTAACGTATGGAAGAAGGCCAGCGTTCAAAGGCAATTCATGTAAAATTTTATTAGTAAAGTAGATATTTTAAGATCAAACTCTGGTATAAGATGTGTCAAATTTGTTAGAGCATTTCAAAAGTTTAATAACGTTGTAGAAGCTTGTTTTACTGTGAACCTAAATCCTGAATATACAAAATTTATCTCTGATTTTCGAATAAGTTACTTAGATATTGGTATTCCGGTTACGCCGAAAGTAATGTCCCAGAACGATGCCCAAAAGGAATTTTTAGAGTACAGATACTTTTCATTTAAATCTAGTTCAGGACCGCCGTGATACGCATGTCAAAGCACTTGCGAGAATTTGCGAATATCGATATACCTCTGATGGCGAGTCGACGTAGTAATATTCTTCGCAATATTTATCCAAAGTAGTATATGTATTCCCCCCCCCCCCTCCGTAACTTGCGTACCGAACAATCGTCGGTCTTGAAACGTAACTCTAATAATCTGAAATAACGTCCCCTTAATTAAATTGAGATTTTAAACGCATCTTTTCGCCCGCGTAAATTATAATTATAATTTATGTGGTAAAAATGTAAGTTAATGCGTTGAACCATTTTCTTTTTACAGTGATATTAAAATAAAGTTTTTTTTTTTAGAAAAACTCGTTCAAAATTTTTATTAGAATATTTATATTTTATTTTGTACTTACAATAGGTTTTCTTTAATCAGCGGTTCCTGGACCATAAAAGAGTTTATCTTCACAAGTATCATTGAATTTGGCAGTATTGTCTATTGCACTGATACTTTTAGGCCATTCTTTTGATATATGGCACATTGAATTTAATTGTTTGCCATCTATCGCGACAGTGATCGCTTTACATTTCAGATCTGTTCAAATTCTTATTACTTTCAAAAACTTTCATTGACTATACCAAACATCAGCAACATTGCAATTTCGATTATTTTTAAACCACAATGAAGGTATTTGACACTAAATGTCACACAGCCTTCACATTCATTCATATATAAAGGTAAAGAGAAACGTCTGATATAATCTAAACTTGTATATTTTAGAATGTTTTAGAATAATAGAGTCAATGGTTTTTGTGTAGTTGAGCTAGTATACACTTTTGGAACTTAAAGTAAGATAGACATATATTTAATATTTAACAAAAGCAAAAAAGAGAATACTAATACAGTTTAATATAAAAATAAAAAATAAACCTTAGACATATAATATACATTAGCTGGACTCAAACAAAACTTTACCCAATCTTACCTTGGAATTGGATCGTTCAAACTGTTCAAATAATTTTCAAGATATTCCAATTTTCAAAGAAATATCAACAAATAGTAAAGAAGGAATATCCTTTAATAGTTATTTAAAAAAAATTTTTTTTAATTAATTTTTTACTTTGAAAACGAGCTGGTCTCCTTAAAAGCAAATATTTTATAAAAATAATAAAAATACCTTCATAAATATCGCGATGCTTTTCATCTCGATTCGGAAGCACTTCGTTCCGTTCGAGTATACGGTACACGCAACTTCGGGACACACCGAACAAACGAGCTATATTGCGCACACTTTTTTGGGGATTATCTTCATACGCTCGCAGGATTTTCTCTTCTTTGCGAGAATATACTTTTCCAGTAACGAATTGTCGAGTTATGCACACTGATCCTGTTTCCCGTAAACGTTGGATACAATTCAGAATGACACTACAGCTGGGTTGTCCGCGTTCGGGAAATCGTTCAGCGTAGAGACGACAGGCTGCACGACTGTTTCCTCCACTTGCACCGTATGCGATAATCATGTCAATGTATTCATGTGCACTATATTTTACCATCTTCTCGTAATAAATACAATATTCTGGAGCTTATGCACCTCAAGAACACTGAACCAAGAGGAATCAAAGACCAGATCACAATTATCACACTGAAGACTGAACGAACTAGGTACTAAGCATGTAACCTCGAACTTCCATATACATATCCACAGGCTTAGTTTCGAAGAGCCACTCGACTGAGACGGACGCGTTTCGGATCGGGTGCTTTCAATTTAATATTTTTGAAAGTGTGCCGACTTTGATTGTGCATTCAAATACACAAAGCCAGGTGCGTGTCCGCAAATTGTGCTCGTCTCGTTCATTCGTCCTGACCACAGTATAAGTACATACAGTAGGTCGACTCTGTGTCGGCACCTTTGATCTGAAGAGAAATGGTCGGCCATGATGTTGAGTGGGCAGCGCGGACAATTTGAATACTAATCTATATATAGATTTATTCGCACACGAATATCCGCTTCTTTTCTTCATATTTGATGCAATGACCGCGAAAATGGCTCGACCGGTCTTCAGGCGCCTGCATCTACGGCGTCGTCACGTCGCAATAACGCGCGTCATGAGAGCCCTAGTCGTCAAAAGGTGCAAAATGACGAACAATCAAGATCGAGACGAGCTCATCTGTGGACACGCATCTGTGTCACAGTATATACAGTAGCGCAACTCTCTGTCGGCACCTTTGATGTTAGTGTTGCCTAAAATGGAGTGCGCATGCGCGAAATAGGCGAAGTACTAGACTGTGCTTTTTCTCTTTTCATCCTTCTTTCGCTCTGTCAAAACGCACTAGCACAGTATATGTAGTAACGATGCGCATGCGCGAAATAAATAGGTTGCCCTATCTCATTTTCTCCTTCTTTATTGCTCTCTCTTTATTCAATGTTCCCTTTAAACGATTATCTTTATGGTTTGGAGGGAAATATAAAGTGTATCGTCCATTCGATCCGTGAAGTGTTATGTGAGAAATTATATGATATTATATGATATTATTTATTAATTTAAATTATCTTCTAAATATATTACATTTTTTATTTGTTGTATCTTATATTTATTTTTTTGCACACACATTATATATATATATAATATATAATATATATTATAAATTTTTTTTATATCAACTTTCTGATAATATGTATATACATAGCATATATTTACAAATTTACAATTATATAATATTTCTCTACATAAATATATATTTTTCAGATAATTTAATATTTTTCTTAATTATTTTACATTTATTTCTTTATTTACCAATATATTTACAATTTATTTGTATTAATTTCCATTAAGTTTAGATTATTTTATTGCATTAGTACATTTATTCGTGTCTCATTCTCCAACATGCTCCTACAATAGTTCTTACTCACTTCAATGCATTCATTGGAGTGTGACGCAAATAAATCTAGGTTAATCTAGTGCGTTTTGGCAGAGCGAAAGAAGGATGAAAAAAGAAAGAGCACAGTCTAGTACTTCGCCTATTTCGCGCATGCGCACTCCATTTTAGGCAACATAAAATCGGGAGAGTTGCGCTACTGTATATACTGTGTCTGTGTGGTGCGATCATAGACTTATAAGATAGACGGAGCGTTCATACGAGAGAAGCTGAAAGGTGCTTTTTCATGCGCAGCACGCTGCAGCAGCAATTCGTTACTATTGGTTAAGAATTTTATGTAAGCTAGATGACGCACTTCCGGCGCAAAATACATTTTGCCGCAGTTCGTTGAAGTTGAACCGAACGAACAGCAAGCAGCAAGCG